AACCACAAAAGTCTGTATCACACCTCGGTTGTTGTTTAACTGTTTATTTAACAGCTATGTCACATATTTTCCCACATTTGTTGGTTACATATTCACACTCTTCTCTTTTCTCTCCTCGTCCTCCCTCAGGGACACAACGTTCCCATGGACAGTGTTATTGGGTGTATTCGGAGTTTTAAAATGAATGAGGAAGTTATTGGGGAACCTGAAGCAAGACACAAAACCTTACCCTGCTTCGATAGGCTCACAGAGAGGGGGACATACTTTGGCGGCGGTCACATCATCTTAGGTTTGATAAATGTAATAGATTCTGATGTATTGTTTTATGTCCCTGTTCTCAAATCTAATAAGGGATATTTCTGTTCTAGATAATTACCTCACTGTTGGCTCCCAGTTTGTGTTGGACTTTGAAGTGCGTCCTCAATACCTGACAGGGCTTCTCTTCCATGTTCAAAGTCACAAGACCAGCCTGGATGTGTTCTTACTGGAAAACAAGGTGAAACCTTTCACTCTTAGAATGAATGATGACAAATGATAAGGCATCAATTAGAAAGAAAAACTGCATTAAATGGCCAAAACATCCTGTTACCAGGTGGGTGTCAAAGTGAACGATGGTAGCGGTGCTGTCAGTGTCTCAGTGACTCCTCGCAAAAGCTTCTGTGATAGGAAATTTCACGTTGTTACAGGTACGACTTCTCATGCAGACAACATTACACAAAGTTGACAATACGTGAGTGGCTCTAAGTTTTAGATTCTCCTGTCATCGTCCTCCAGTGTCCAAACAACTTGAAGTTATCAAACTAGTGGTGGACTCTATGTCTGAGCAGAAAGCCGTCCCCTTCATATCCACCTTTCACTCAACAACACTGGATACACTTTACATTGGAGGTAAATCCATCACACTATTCACAGAATATCTTACAAAATATATCAGCAGTCATGAAATAACCTTGAACAGAATCCTTTTTTCTAACATTGTATTTATTCAGTTTTGAATCTATGTCAAACATAAGAGAAAAAAACACATAGACACACATATATGTAAAGCTACATTAAAAAAAACAAAGGCAACACAATATACATATATATATATATATATATATATATATTTACACACATATATATAATACAGTGTGAATAATAATCTTCAATTTCTGCTTTTAATTTTCTCCATTCAGGAACAACAAAGCAAAACCGGGTCTCTGTGTCCTCCCCATTTGTGGGCTGCTTGCGTAATGTGAGGCTTAATGGAAGGCCTGTTGCACTTGAGGCAGGATCCAGGGTGGTTGGCCCTGTGATCAATAAATGCCCTGCACTCTAATTACATGTAATTAATGGGTGACAAACCAACTTCTTTAACCCCACAGACCCTCTGGCATCATTACAAACTCGTGTTGTGCAGACAGGCTTTGTTGAAACACACAGAACTTCATTTGAAATTCTGTCCGCTAAGCTCAGCCCCCCTCCTGTACTACGCCTGTCAAGCTTTCCATTGTCGCACAGCTCACATGCAGTATACGGTGACAGGGACATAATTACCACAAAAAATAAAAGACTTTGAGACTTGCTTATCATTTCTAGCTGGCGACCGCTGAGTCTGTCAGCTGAAATGAAGTCTGCAGCAGATTTGATCAACTGTAGCTAGCCAGCTAATTACACTAATGTTTGCTCCATGAGTTGGTTGAAAACGCTGACTTTTTAATATTTATTTCACAACAACTCTTTTTAAAATGAGAATCTTAAAAAGGTGTCCTAAAGGTCCAGTGTGTAACATTTAGGAGGCTCTATTGGCTGCGAGTTTTTAGGCCACTGTAGTTTCTCCTTTACGGGTTGATGGCGAGTTGTATTCAGTTGGCTGCAATCTGTAACTTCACTGCGAGATGCCACTAAATCCTACACACTGCTTCGTAAAGCTACATACATGATATCATGCTAAAAGACTGAAGCTAAAGCTCCATATTACAGTAAAAAATCCATGGGAAGACACAGAATTGTTTTTATATTGCAGTGCAAGGAACAATGTCAGATCAGAGTTGTTTCATTTTAACATGACCAAGTTTAGCTTCTTAGCACAAACAAGACAGCGGTTAACCCCAAAAAATAGTGTAGTATGATATACCGCCGACCATGGAAGCATTTCATTGGTTACTTCTGTAGGTAGTAAGCTAATGTACATTGGATCAAACAAACAAGGTAAAAAAATAAAATAAAAATTAAGAAAAAGAAAGCACTCTTTATACAGCCCCACATACATTGCTTCAACATGTGGACAAATCCACAACTTAAAATAGGCCTGCTGTGCCTAGTTGCGGTTGCTAAGCTATGATTGGACAAGTCAATATGTTTCGTGGAGGGTTCGCGAGACAGTGTTGGTGTGTGGGTGTGTGCTTTAAAAAATTGTTTGTATTGGATTTAAATTTAATTTAAAGCACTGGAACAAACAAATATGAGAGTCAACATTATCACATGTTGTTAAAATCTGGATTATATGTATTTTAAACTACTTAAAGTTGAATTGTGATAAATCCACTTTGACATGAGCCTTGCATTTGGATATTATTAATCTCACATGATGTGTTTTGTTCTTCAGAAAATAATGTGAAAATGAAAAGTAATTTTAGTAGTTTTCTGTGATCAAAGACATAAATGACTTCTGTACTTGGGTAATCCAGATAAAACAGTGTACCCTCTATCTACTGCTAAGGCACCTTGAAAGAAACATTTTAAAATATATCCAAAAATGATTTGACCCATGTCTGTGTGACATGTTCGCAAAGAAACCATTTTTGGAGTGAACAGCTCCTCAATAATGGGACCACTGTCTGTCATTTCCCCATTCTACTGTGTGTTTGTGTGTGTGTGTGTTGTGTGTGTGTGTGTGAGAGAGATGAGAGAAGCGAGAGACGAGGAGAGAGAGAGAGATATCTTTTCATCAAAGCAGGCAGAACAAGAATGAACAGCAGCACAACACAATGGTTTTCTTCTAGGGTTTATTTTTAGTTAAAACAAAACAAGTTGCTTGACTTTTAGGGTTAGGGTTAGGTCACAGGTCACAGACTAAGGCTGATGGTGTAATTGTAATTGCAAAAATAATTGAGATAATTTTGTTGTTGTTGTATAATTCATGAAAAATCAAAGGCAACTTGTTCCAGTGAGAATAAAATCACACTGTTTGGGGTAAATGTAAGACATTTGCGTTGTGAACACGTCTGCGAGGTCTGCATCTTTACAATTAGAAACCAGGAAATGAGTTTGGTGACGTATGGCTCATCGGTTTGTGCAGGAAACTAAAATAATCCTTCTGGAGGAACCGACATATTATGGGTTTAAGATGATGAGTCGTGTAATCCAAAACTAATAGTTCTTTAAAAGCTAAATAAAATCCAAATAGAGGCCATATTTTGTTTTATTAATTACAATGGGCTTTATGAAGCATTCCTTAGAATTACTCCACATATAATAATAACAATTACAACAATTTTTTAAATATTCGTAATTTTCAGATCATGGGAACTTTCTTGGATTAATTTTGGTGACTGGTACAATAAACTGACTTAAAATGTAGGACTGTAGAGACATATAGCTTTTTAAACTTAAGTGGCTCAAACATCATGTGCCTCTTGACCCTCAGGTAACTTTGTTTTAAAAGCATATATTAAATAGATGGTTGCAATTCCCCTTCGGTACTAAAACACAAGAACACACTGCATCCTCAACATCAAAACAGGCTTACAGTTCAATCTGTTATTTTACTTCTGACCATGAGAGGGAGTGCTTATCCTAATGTAATGTATTCAGTTAGTCCCGCTCTCTCAGCGAAGTTCTCTCTGTGTGTGGTAGCAGAGTTTTCTGGTATATCTCGCTGATCATAGCCACTGCCCCTTAATTAATTAATTAACAGCTCCTCATCAAAAAGCAGCACGCCATTTGTGACGTGTATTCTCTTTGCTTGCTCTGATGTCATCAAACAGCTCACACAAATGCACAGAGACTAACTAAGTGTGAGTCCATCTATGTTTGCACTGTAATGTACCACTGAGTACCCCCCTTTATTCAGTGCGTACTTGGACAGGCTGCAGTAATCTGCAAGGCTGGGGAAGCTACTTTGAAAGCATAGCTTAGCAAGCCACCAATTATTTTCCCTCTGGAAGAAGTTGAACTATAGCATAGAGAGAAATCTAGTTTGCTTAACTAAGGCTACTTGGAAAAAGGGAGATCCAACTACCTTGTAAAAAGACAAAAACCTAATTGACAATGTGCATGTGATATGAAATTATAACAACATATAATAAAAAAACAGCCCGTTCTCATTATCGGTTCTCGTCAAATAGACGTCAGCCTTGTTCAATTAGTTGCGATCTGCAACTTCACCATTGAATGTTACTAAATCCTACACACTGGTCCCTTAAGTATGGCCATGATGGCTTCCTCTGATATTTTATCCATGATGACACTGTTACTGTGTGAGCACTAAGCATTACCCACCTTTTAGCATTATCCCTTTAGGGCACAGTATTTCACTGAGACAGCAACCACTTTTAACTTGTCTTGTCTCCATTACTCTATTGTTAGTGTAACCTTATTCACTGCTAACTTATAGCATATTAGTTTGTGACTAAACTTTTCACCACATAACAGCTCAACTACTTGACTTTTGTCTTGATATGGGATTTCAAATGAATTAAAACACACTTAATCCTGAATTTCAACCCACTGCATGAGCTTCTCTCCTCGTTTGTTTCCTAATGGATGTGACATATTTAATTTCTGGGTTTCTGTGTCAGCCACTGAAAATGCTTTTTAGCTTCACCTTGTCCTCAGACCATTAGAACAAACATGAATTTCTTGTGTGCTAGATTTTGAGAAAAATTCAAAGTCCCCATTTTGCACCAGGATCTTATATACATTGTTTCTGAGAGCTGTGCTGTCCACATTTTCTAGTTGGGAAAAAATGCTCCAATGGATCTTGGGCCTTAAACATACCACTTCCTTACAGAAACTACGAGATCAGACTTTATTTTCAGATTTCTCTGAACTTCTGTGCATCCTAAGCTTACATCATGAAAGGTAAAAACATACATGAATACACTGAAGAGTTTTATTTCGGTTTCCAATAAAATACTTTCAATGCTCTATATGGAGGTAAAAGGCCTTAAAATTCAGTAGTTTCTACATCATGTGACCTTATAACCTCCAATCAACTTTATGTAGTCTGTCTTTACTATTTTTTTATGATACACATGTTTTTCAGCAAAAATATGAATGAACCTCTTTACAAAGCTCAGTTCACGAGCTTTATGAAATACTGAGCACAACAGACATAATTCAGTTGACAAAACAATCTAAACTATTTTCAGACAAGTCTTATAAGTGTAATATTGATATATACTCTGTGTTTTTGTGAGTATATTTTGTTCCATTTGTTTACAAGGCAAAAAACATCAGGATAAATTACATCCACATCAACCTCATTTTAAGTGACTGCTAGTGGTTTTGTGAGTCCAGAGGAAATGGGAACGACATGATGAGGTCACTGAAGGTTGAATTTGTGAAAAGTATATATACAGATATACATATAGAGTCAAAACACTATTATGAACATTTAAAAGAAGACAGATGGACACTAAAATCACAAACCCCTGTGCATCAGCACCTCTCCACTGTGCTTAAAGTCCATTATGAACAGAAACAATCCCCTCTCAATGTAAATACAAATGTTACATTTCACAACTTTTAAATATTGATTATTGACATTTTTATGCACAGTTTTACCATCATAGAGTAGATTAAGGCCACACAGTTTAAGTACACTGTTTGCATATTATTTGTAGTTATTGTAGCTATTCCATTAAAAAAAACAAAAAAACTGTTAATGCTGCTCCGTACTGAGGACACTGTATGATGCAAATTTCTCTGTGCAGGAAATGACCATTAGTAAATATCTGGCAGCTGGCTGTATTTCCGGTCCCAGTATCCACCACAAAACAGCCAGTCCTGGGAGCTGGTGTGGGGGTTTTGCCCCTGCTGAAACCACCTGAAAGAACAGCGGATACACATTTAGTTCCAGACCAACATGACACCAGCCAGATCATCTCAAACAAATCAGAGAAAGCGAGGAAGGAAGGTCAAGCATGCTTCATCACAAGGTTATGGGTAATTTGCATAGGAGTTGGCTGTTTAGTTGTTTGCTTTAGACTAAAATTAACTTTGGAGGAGAGGACTCCTGTGGTGTTTCAGTGATTCCATCAAGTGCCAGGACGTGGAGCTGCCATGCTTGCTGAAGGGGGAGTAGATTAATCACATCGACTCCAAACTGTGATTCTATCTTCAGTGATTCTCTCTCATATTTTAGATAGAGATATGGTTTAAATTTAAATAACTAGACTGCAAGGACACATAATCACATCACACATTTCAGGCACATCATTCAAACAGTGAGCAGCTCTAACCTTGGACCCAGGGCAGGACACCTTAACATCAAAGCGAGGATGTGACAGAAAAACAGGATAAAATGGAGATTTAGCCAGAGTATTTTAAAGCAACCAAGTATTGAAACAGTGTAGAAAGAGAAGACAAAATTGCAGCATTAAAGACATAAACTGTATATTTAGCCACAATGAAAACAGCACATTAAGTAAATTACATCAATGCTATTGGAGTTTAGCAAATTAAACACAGGATAATCTGAGCTGACAATGTTCGCACTTTATTAAAGAAACACTTGAGACCCTATTCAAAAGTAACTAAATCCACCTATTAGCATCTCTAAATCTCACTAATTATAGTTATATTACATTTTTAAATCCATATAAAGGCAAGCTGTATAAACGAACAAACTAAGCTAAGCCAACCACCTGCTAACTGTAGCTGTAGCTAAGTGAATTTCTCAAAATGTCACACTATTCCTAACTACATTTATCCACAATGAAATCTTCATATAAAGTAGTAGTTCAGTTTAGCAAATTGAACAGAGGATAATAAAGGATAATGAAAGCCTGTTGAGTAAAGCAGTTAAGAGGAGAACACTGAGTTGTTCATTGTCATTGGCGACCTCACCTCGTCTTCCACTCTTCATCAGACTTGGAGCGGTTTTTGCGAGCAGCTCTTTGTTTTTCCTCAAGCCTTTTCTTCTCCTCACTGGCGAGGTCTGTTTGTATAACAACATTGTAGAGTTTCAGATTGCAGCGAGAGTATTCTTTTTTCATTTTCAGTTCCAGTATGTCACTAACAATTATTACCAATGTCACCGTTCTCCATTGCTCGTATGTCTGGCCTCAGCCTGCAGTCAGTCTGTGGAATGGCGCCCTCCATCTCCTTATGCAGCTCGTTTAGTTGCATTGCAAAGGATGTGAAGCTGTACATCTGCAATTAAAGGAACGACTCATTTTGCATATTGGAACATCACAAAATGCATCATGGTTTTGAGGCTGCACTCTGTTGAAAGCTCATAGTGTGCACATTAATCAGTCAGACCTGGGTAGAGTTGGGCGGTCTAGGTGCAATCCTCCACAGCAGCTGGCTGCCAGGAATCATCTGCACAGTGTCTGCAGCTGGAGTGGGTACCTCCTCCTGACCCTCACTGCAACCCTGAAAACCAGAAAAAATGCTGCACTGAAAAGACTACATATTAATAATGTCATCAAACTCCATGAATCACATGCTGAATCACAGTAATAAACTGTGCTGTTCATACCGCTTTGCTGCTTTTTCTCTCCTCTGCAACTTTCTTGTCGTTTTTCTTATGCGATTCGAAGGCTGCATGGTCGACGACATACAGGCACTCTGTCCACTTCCCATAGAGAGCACACATCTTCTTTTTGCTTTGGAAAACACACACACACATACATGCACATAGTCTCAGGCACAGTAACTATATGTGATGAGCTGTTTCAGAGCTTTAGCAGATAAAAACTTCCTGGTCCATCAGCTAAGATGGCAAACCAAAGACAAAAACAAAACAAGACACTCTGCTGCATTAGCAAGAAGAAAATGTTCTCTTTTGACAAATTAAGCACTTTAATGTGTGGCTTCACACTGGTAAATGGTCTGAAAATTTCAGCTAAATGAAACATTCCCAGTCGAAAATAAGTTAAAAGGCCAGACTCAGAGGCTGGGGCAACATCAGACCTAACGCTGAGTAAACAGACTAGGTTTTATCATCTCCCTGCTTGTTGTCAGCCTCTGTGGTTACTACATAACTTCTCTCAGTATTGTTTTGTATGTTTGTATATCTCACAGGCTGCATATTTCACCAAGTTTCTGAATATCTCATTTTGCATATTTTACCTTGTTGTAGTGGTCCTGCACACTACTTGTGTCCAGTCATTAGTGTTGAGTCATTGGCTCTGTTGTGTTGGAAACAGCTTCTATTTTTGACTGAACCATCTGCTCTTTGTTTTGTTTTATTAAACCTGCTTCAGTGACATGGTAGCCGCCTTTTCCCTCAGCCTTTAAACTTAATTAATTTTACACTGAAGCCTACATGTTTGTGGAGCTGCTTTTAATACCAATGAATTATTGAGTGTATGAAATGTTAATTGATAATTTGCATGATGATTTGATTTTATAATGGGTTCTGATATCTAGAAATGTGCTCAGCGGAGTAACCCAGGAAAACCTTTTGCTTCTGATTTACAAATGAAGTATTTTTAAACAGCTGACTGAATCATATTTGTTTGAATATGGGAGCATTAAGGAATCTGTTTTAAAAGGCATCAGCCAGTTAAACTGTCATGCAAGGAAAACAAATCTTTTCTGACACTCATGGCATCCTGTGGTGCTGCATGTTGTAATATGCAAAATATATTTACAGAGATGAATAATCAAGTATGTCACCCATTTACCTTTTATCCAGAATATACCCTTCAACCTTGTGCAGTTCTTTGCCAAATAAGCCACACGGTTTGAAATTCAGGCAGCACTTTTCACCAGTTCTAGGTGTAAAAAAGAAAAAAAACATTATATTATCCTCTCACGATCTGCTGGCTGAGTCATGCAGAACTTCCTCATCTGCTCTCTCCATTTTCCTGCTTGCTGATCAAACTTCCTTTTTTTACCTGTGGTTGATCACCTCCATATTTCCATATTGCTCAATCCACAGTTGGCCCACAATGATGTTGTGAACACAACATGTAGGATTTGTCCATGTATATGCTTCATTGTACCTGAAGAAGAAAATGGTGTGATGTTACACACCAAAGAATGTTTACACAGTGCTACTACATAAATGGGAAAAGGCTGTTTAAAGCCTTTTGTGGCTCCAGAGGGAGATGCGGGAAACCTGATAAATTACTGAATGAAGACTACAAGTTTAAAATGGCAATGTGCATGTGTGATAAAATAATACAGACCACTCATACAGAGGAACTTCAAAAGAGTTTACAAACTATTTTTTGTTTTTCAGTGTAAAGTACAGAGGGCATATATCTTTTTAGTTGATTAATTTTATAGTAAGGGAAGATGATTAAAAATGCCATTAATGTTCTTTTTGATCAGCTATAAGTTCTTACTTGGGCAGCTCCAGCGTGATGATGCCTTTTGGCTCCGCTTCCACACTCTTGCCCCAGAACTTGAGTTTGGGGTAGATGGATCCATGAAACACAAAGTCTTGCTTCAAGCCCTCAGCGTGGAAGGCGCTGACAGGAGGGTGGTGGCTCACCTGCTCTGATATAAGCCTGAAGCCCAGATCATCTCTGAGACAGCAAGCATTAACGTGGGAACGTTAGAGGATGGGCAAGAACACAGTTGTGATGTAACAGGTAATGTATGTAGTATATATCACACGTTGAAAATGTGCTGTATAATCTCGCTTACCTGACCAGTTCATAGGTTTCTCCCAGCAGAGGGTTGAAGGGTTTACCTGTCCGCTCCCACTGGGAGGCCACAGCGGACACCGCAAACGCAGCCACACACTGCCAACAGGAGATAAACACACACTAAATCACACTAAACTCAAAACTATGGTATTATCCAGTTACAATATGGCTGCATTTGAGGCAATTTAAGTAATTTGCAGGATGTTACAAAGTGTAATACCTTCATCCTCTCAATAGAGTCTGAGGAAGTGATGGCCTGGTGGATGAGGTAAGTGTGCTCCATGTACTCTGTCAGCCGCTGCAAGAAGCTGAGTGGCTCGTTGAAAATAACTGGCATTGTAATCTTGGAGAGTTCCTAAAAAAGACATGAAGAGGAATTGAGGGACCAGGTTACAGAGAGAAAATGAAGTCCCTTCACACAGCAATTTTTTGAAAGTGTAATATTCATTTTGAGGGTTGGAAAGGCCCATGGGAGTAATGGTCTTCAAACATCCTGTACAAGACGTAAGTAATTTGTAAGTTTCTTTCTGCCAAATGAATTAATGTAAATGTAGTGTTGTAATTACTCTATCCTTCTCTGCTGCAAAAAGAAACAACGCTTTAGAAATATATATGTCCAAATACAAGATTATTTAGAATAATAGGTTTCAGACATTCCATTCAAGGATTATGATGCTTAAAGTCTTTAATGGCCTAATCTGAAAACACAGAAATGTACACAGTAATACTCCACAAGCTGCTCAGTACATTACATCTACATTTTCTGTTGTTGAACAATACGAGTCTGCAGTCATACTAACGGCTCTGCAGGGCTGTATTTAGGCACAACAGTGCTTTGAGCTAAAAAATAATGCTAGTATGCCAACATGCTCACCCTTTAAACCTACAATAACTGATTTGGACTCTTGGAGGCTGTAGAAACAAGTTGCGAACACTGACATATAATGTTTTAAGTTGATATAACAATCTTATTTACACATCCAGCCGTTGCAGAGCCACATTATCATTCATTTAGAGTCCTGTTTCTGGCCACCTGATGAATGCAAGACAAGCTTGGTTTTAGCTCTGTTTTAGGTCTCTACCAACTCATGAGGAAAATATATAGCAGTTGCATACTACAGCTAAACACCAAAACCGTAAAGTTGAGGGCAGGACAGCTAAGAAATGAGTTAAAACTTGTTATAAAGCTCTGGGAACTGCAGATTCAGGAGATAATCCTCTGAGGGTTCATTACTATGAGTGACCCCTTTCACATTATAAAACAAATGAGCTAATTAGTAGGTATTTGGTCATAAACTAAAGTAGTGGACAAATGAAAAGTTTGACCTGATGATGTGCCTGGAAACAAGTCACAGAACCAACAAGTTATTACAAGTAATCCCGAGGGGGGACATGAATGTCTGTACAAATATCATGGCAGTTTATTCAAAAGTTGTCCAGACATTTCACAAAAAATTCCAAGGTCAGGAGATCACTAAAGTCATTATGAATAATTCCTCTGGGGGACCTTTAAAGTCTGTACAAAATGTAATGGCAGTCCACCCAGTATTAGTGCTAACATGGCTAATAAAAACAATACATGAACATCATTCTCACCATTCCAATGCAGTTCCTCAGGATACTCCAAATACTGAAGTCATTTCTTGAAAACATTGGTGCAGGTAAGCTGGTCCTAAAATAACACACACACACACACCCACACACACACACACACACACATTAACACACGTTGGATTACTTCTATAAGGTGGATATGATGCATCGGCTTTGTGCTCTAAGAATACTTAGACACTTTTCATTAGAGTAAATGTACCAGACATATAATAGCTGCAGGCGTCATATCTTATTCAAGTGAATATAGTCAACAAAAGCCTGTAATGTATTGTGTGACATACTGGAACAAAGCCCAGAGAGACAATCAACACCGGTATCAGAGGTGGTCAGCAACCTTGGAATCATCCAACTGCAGCACTTATATCTTGTAAGTCTTTCTATTTTGTATAACTTTCTTAAAGACTTTACAGGTTGAAGTTTGGATAATATTCTTCAAATCATAAGAATATAGCATTATAAGCAAAATAATAACATGAGGGGTTCATATAATAATTAAATCCCATCCAAATAGTTTAAATTACACTAAAAAGCTGCATGGAGGGATTAACCAACACAGGATCATACTGCAGACTGATTATTGCATTGCACTGTGACCCTATCAATATTTAACAGCTCCAACACAGAGCTCAGTTCTTTCAATACAACTCTTCTTCTTTCCTTTACCAGGCCGGACCTGACTCTAAATTATTCACACAATGAAGTGGAAAGACCTGAGGGACGACATGAAAATGAAAAACAAAGATCATTGAGAAAACAGTCAGAGCAGGTTGGGAAATATAACAGCCTGACACTAATATCGAGGATACATTACAGCGAGGAAGAAATTGCAACAATAACAGTCTGATATGAAGAGACAGGCTCTTTGTTGACTTTGTTCGGCTTTTGATGAGTGCTGGATAAAAGCAAGGGGGGGTCAGCGGTCCATTTAGGAAACTGTGGGGGCATATAGCACCGCTGACCTATGCTTTGTGATCCCATTGGGTTGAGCCTCCTCCTTGTCTCCATGGTGATCCTCCTGCAACATGCTGGTGGGGCTGCTGCAAGGGCTGCTTAACATGACAGAGCCTTCGTCCTCCTCCTCGTCCTCCTCAAATGAATGGCTAGCCACCGTCTCAAAGCCGCTCAGGGAGAGCTCTGAGTCAGATTCTGACAGAGATGGACACATGGAGACAATTCAGTGTCTGTAAAGCAAAATGAAAAACTTCTACTGTCTGATTATAAAGCCAGTGTCCACACATGTGATAGCAATTACAGCTAGACAGATAAATCAGCCAGAACGATACAGTATGTCAGCCGATATTAGCTATATTAATATGTATATTTTTGTATCCGTACATTCAATATGTTGGCCGATAAATAACAAGAAACTGCAGTTCAGTGCAAACACTGTTACCATTTGTCCACCACAAATCAGTAAATCATAATAATAATCAATTCATCTTGGTCATAAAAGATCATAATTCTTAAAAGATCATCACAAAATGTTGAGTATGTAATGTGTTTATGTAGAAAAATTAATATTGACCTGTAGTCCCCCCCCCCTTTTTTTTAAATCTTAAATATTGGTATCTATATAGGTATCAAAAATCTAGCATTAGTTGCACTCTAATATCATTACTGTATAAATCAAAATAACAAATTAGTAGTCACTAGATCAAATACTACGGTATTCCGATACTGCACCAGCGTGAAGTTACGCAACCTCTCGTTAGTCGAGCAGAAAGCAAACAATGTCAGTCTGAAGATATTTTAAACAACTTTTACAGTCAGTGAGGAACATGTGATGAAAATAAATCATGTTTTTAATGTTATTGTTAGAACTGTAATGGTATTATTAAGTTCTCATATCGGTACTCGGTATTGGCAAGTGCTCATGAGTAAGTACGTGTACTTGGTCTGAAAAAAGTGGAATCGGTGCATCCATATTATGAAATAAACAAACAGAAAAAGTGGAATTATTTATTATATATTTTTTCCCTTCTTAACTTAACTAACTCTAAAGTGTAATGTACGGCCTATATATCAGTATTGATTCATATGTTAGCTGTTAAGTAACAAGAAATTAACTAACCAGTTTAGAGATAAAGTAGAAATAGTGTCTCAATAGGTTGTTCACCAAAAAAAAATACATCTAAGGGATCTAAGGGATGGTATGTTTATGTAAAGAAAATTGCTGATATATTAATATATTTTTGGGCTGTAATAACAAGACTGGATAAATGACAATAACAAATGATTTAGTGAACAATTATTATCATGTTTATGATGCATTTCATATTCATTAAAGTAGAAAAATAAAAAATAAAAAAGAATGGAATTTTCTTACCTCTACTATATAAGTATTACAAATGTGCAATATATTAATCTATGTAATTTTATATCTCAGATAAAATATATTCACCCAAAAATATATACTTACAATCATGCTCTACAACAATGAATGCAGATCTCCAATGGAGATGTATATTGGTATTTCATTTTATTCAGTCCTGTTAACTTCCTTTCATCTATAGAACTCGTTACATAAGCATCCAATTAGAGAAAAAGTTTTGTTGGTACTGATAAAGTTTAAACTAAAAACAGGGATAAAGCCCATTTAGAAAATAGATGTAACTACACCATGCAGGTTTTTCACACACAAAAACACTCATTCATGTGAAAAGTCATTTCAACACAACCAGGCAACACTTGCGCTTACGTCACGCTTGAGGAGCAGCAAAACATACCCAAGACATTCACCGGCAGGTAAAAGTATTCCAGTGTCCTACAGGTGAATGACAGAGCAGCGAGTGTGAGCGGGAGCTTGTCACAGAATCTCCTGCATCTCCTGAGCGTGTTTGATCACTTGTCAACTCACCAGACACGGCGTCGTGGAACTCATCCTCGCTGAGGGCACTCCGCGGTGAAGATCCCTTGACGACGGATTGCTCAAGCTCGTGGTGCTCCGTGGCAAGAGTCTGCAGCGCTTCGGAGAGGATCTTATTCTTCTCTACCTCCTGCTCCAATTTCAGACTGCGCACCTGAGCTCACAACACACAAACAAACACACACACACACACACACACACACAAAACAAGAGATTAATCACTCATAGAACAAACCAACATGAATTCTATATTCCACATCAGATAGCTGAAGTAAAGTGATTGTAGGGTTTTCACGGGTACCAAAATTTTATTCTGACTCTCATTACAAAGAGAAGACAAATGGGCATGACTATCAGACCGGCTGTGACGGCAGTGGGCCTGCAAATAAACAGCCTGTTGACTGATCCTCCCCTCTGCACTGTCCTCTCATTAACAGACCCACGGAGAGAGACAGAGATGGAGCTGAGAGGGATGAGCCATGTTTATCTGTAATGGAGGACAGCTGCCTTGACGCCGCCGTCTCAAATAGCCTGCTGGAGAACATGATTCCTGTGGAGGAGAGGGGATCAAGTGACGGGTAATGGACTCAGATATAAACCATCAGCCAAACCTGCTTTTTACACAAGACATCAATGTTAATAATGTGAAGATGTGCTAATTTTTCAGCTTAACCTTTCTGAAAATCTTGCTTCACTGTTTCCACAGTCTGACAGTGTGTAAATACAAAGTGTGGAGACCATAAAGGAGCCTGTCAGAGAAACATCCACAAGATGGTAACCAGGACCATAGCAGGCAAGTTGAACTGGGTATAAGTGCTGTATAATGACTATAGATCACTTGCCATCGTTGCAATATACTGAACTGTAAAAGGAAACTCCTGCCGCTTGACCCATACACAGGTGGTGCAAACCAGCGCTGCAGGAGCTGGAAGTGATTCAGTATCTTTCCTTTGCAGAGGGAATGAGCGCAGACCCCGCTGCTCCATTCAGACTGCATACCATCATGTGCAGACTGAGATATACAGTACAGTAAATGTTTGAGTTATTCCTATTGAGACCAGGCCTATTCATGGTGAGAGCTCTGAGATCCTGTGCAGCCTTTTATCGTGCACTCTGGCTCTGCACATCGCAGTTCAAAAGGCTGCACAGCTGAGCGACGACGGCCCGGCACAGGTGTAAGCCCTGAAAGCACTGGACTGGCTGTTAAACTGAGAACATTCAAATGGTTTTTGGCAGCCTCTGGGCACACCAGCAGCACCGTCCCTTCTAAAGATCCCTGATTAATTCAACTATCTTGTTTGTGAGATGAAGCTGTGTAAGTGAGCATGAGTGGGACGAGGAAACAAGACTGGGAAAAACATGTCATGCACACTTATTTTTGTCAATACCTTCTGATTGTAATAATTCAGGATGTGATATTCAATCATTATGTTAGAATGCAGATGTTTTCTGTTTAAAATGCAGAAAATGACTGTAATGAATGCCATCAGAATGGCACGTATCAAAGCACAGAACCTGTGCATTATCGTGTGAAAGTGAACACTCCTTGGTTCACATAATCAACAACACAAGTGTGTATTCATCACTGCATTCAGACACTGTGGTGCATCAAAACCAGCAGCACTACTACATATCAGATTAACAATCAGCAGAGTGTGCAGTGACGAACTGTCATTCTGATGTGACGTTCAGATAGTAGTCTGGTTCATAAAGTGCCGCAAATGAACCAAAACTGTGATAGGCCAATATGCAAAATAAAAATTAAAGACATTCTCACTCTCAGCCTACAAAAAGTGAGATAGGAGATCATTTTTACGAGGAAAATCAGATATATACTTTCTATTCAGCTGCAGCACACATACTTATTCAGAGTGAATCCGCCCTTCACACAAACCATCCCCCTACATTTCCTGTTCCCTGTAAAATGTCTTTGGGTTTACCTCAATTACATTTTCTTACATATTCTAACCTTCCAGTCATAAAACAATAACCATCCATCAGCCTCAGCTTTACTTTTACTGCTCATTAGGGGCAGTAGACCCTTAGTGTCGTTTTATGATTTCTGCATCAATGTGATGAAATATCTTAATTTGTCAGGATTTCACTTTGCTTATCCAAAAGCAGACATCCAGTCATTTTATCCATAATATATATTATAGCCATTCTCAATTGATATTCTATAAAATATACTATTTAATTACAATCTTTGTAGAATTAGAGAAACCGTGATTGCCGATTATTGTTTGTCTGACATCTGCTGAGTGCTGCTTTGCTTGAGGCCATTGTAGTAAAATCCTGTGGTTTACACATACAATATAGTAGTAATGCCATTTCACTTCTTAATACCTGAAAGAATTTAAAGCTCAGTATCCACCCATTCCCAATACACACACACACACACACACACACACACACACAAACAGCCTCCTGCACTTAAAACGGGAAAATGGATCTCATTATGTGACTCACCATGTAAACACTGTGTTTACTCAAGTGCTATAAATTTCGATTTACATTATTACAGAATTGATGTACAGGGTTGGCACTTGTTGTGAGCTATAAGCATTACCATCTATTTTCTATCCTTGAGAGATGATATCCATCCAGTGAATCCTTCCATTATAATCAAATCCATTGAATCACACACAAAGCCAAACCCATCTGACAGCTTATAATCACTGCACTCCACTGAGCTGCTTTGATAAGGAGGTGCCGCCGTTTTTTTATGAAACACGCTTTGTTTTTACATGTTATTCTTAAAGGAAACATCACTATATATAGACCCACAGTCAGCGAGGACCCTGTTGATTACAGCATTTCTAGTCTGCATTTATTTAAACGGTCAGTTCACTCAAATCATGTGTCAATATCCTGGCCACATAATCCACAAATATCAAAACAAACCCTTGAGTTGAGTGAAATTACACAATAAACTTTTTTATGCTATGGGTTGTGGAGAGTAAAATGCTCATAAACAATGGTATAATAGACAAAAACCTGACTGATTACTGCTGACCGTATTCAAACAATGACACTAGTCTGTCCCGGGAAGGCTGACACTTACCCCTTCCTGTCTGGAGAAGACGCTGAGACAGACACTGAGACTGGAAGTGGTCTCACTGGACAACTCATAGATTTCTTGCAGTTTCTGCAGTATGGCGGATGGAAACCCTGAGGGGACAAACACATCAATGAGGGACCACTCGCACAAAGTAATGAAAAAGTCAAACAAACAGCTAACATGAAGTTCAAGTTTCTTAGTGTATTTTTTTGTTCTCAGAAAAACAACAAGCACAGCAAACCTCTAATGACAGAAACAGATGGTGCAGACTCTTAATTATGAGGATTTCAGCCATTATTCCATCAATACTGTGCATTTAAATCTGCGTGATGAGGCTTGTAATTGTAATCATAAGGTTTGCATTTCCACTTGCGAATGGTTCACATCTATGAGTTTCTCCTCTGCAAAGTGTATTACATTAAATTAAAGAAGAAACTTAATTGACAATAAAATAACAGGTTTTACTTTCTGCCAGCCCATCATTTTTCAGCAAGGACAGGAACGCTGCCACCTCCTCTTCCAGTTTCTTCTGGCTGGCCTCTGCCGCCTGGTTTCAGAGAGATGAGAGGGGAATGCAGATTAACAAAAGCAGTGCAGAGTGGGAGGACCGGGGGGGCTTTCTAGTTCAGTGGAAACACTACAGATCATTATGCTGACATGCTAATTATGGATCTTCTTGTTTACAGCCACCTGTAGTGAGTTTGTTAGCTCCCCGAGTGACATCACTTCCTGTTCCTCCTCCTCCTCGCTGCCCTGTTCTTGGGAGCAGTAGTGTGTGCTGTAAGCTGAGTGCTCCTCCAGTGCGTCCAGCCATGCCTGGAAGACAGTAACAGATTGTTCTGTTGTTCGTCATGAAAATTAAACATTGAACCAAGGCCAAGTTTTGGATCAAGTCCAAATCCAGCTTTTAGAGGGCAAATCCAAGTCAAATCTCAAGTATTTTGGACCAAGATGAAGCCTTTAATTTCTTTATAGGGCAAGTCCAAGTCATGTCTTACCTTTTGCTTACACTTAACACTCAAAACGAAGGTGCAACTGTGCTAAAAAAACAACAACATGAGTTCCTGTCTGTTTGAAACATTGTAGTGTTTCTACATCCCTGCTGCTGCTTTTCATCTTAATACATTTCTGATTGATCACATTAAAATAAGCAGCAGTCCTGATCCTGAATGTGACTACGCTGCCAAATTAGTGATTTAGCTTTTTCATCAAAATATGCCTAATAATGATTAGGCAGCGTAGTGAACGAGGGATCAAACTTGAAACTGCTTTACAGGTGAAAAAACAAGTCAAGCTGAAGTAGACAGAGGTCATAACAGAAAAAACTTAATTATATCCAAAGCCCTCAAAGGCAAATTGTAATTAGCTAAGTGCACACACAGATTAAATTTTACAGCAACAATTTTAATAATTAGATCACACTTGGAGGATTATGATATTACTATAAACTGTAGGAGCATTTACATAAAAACATTCTAGTTAAAAAAAATTAAGAAAATCACGAATCCCTTGCGCAGACCGCCACCCCTTCCAAAGTCTTCTTTAAAAAATAGGGTGGACGCCGTAAAAAAAAAAAAGCTATAAAATATCGCAAAAATCAATTTATTCACAAAAAAACCCCAATTTATTCACGCCTTCATTTTCTCTCGTCTAGATTACTGTAACTCCCTCTACACGTGCCTCAGTCAAGCTTCCTTAAATTTTTTGGGAACAGTTAGTACAAAATGAAGCCGCCAGACATTTTAACCAAGAACCAGCCGTCGGCCCCAATTACTTCTGTTCTCCCATCCTTCATGCTTCCTGTAAATTCTGAATCAACTATAAGATCATTATTCTGATTCATATAAGGTCAACTCATGACCTTTGCCCCAGTTAGCCATTTTCAGATCTCATTGTTCCTCCATTCCACTCCTCGCCTCTTCGCTCCTTCAAAATCCGCATTTTAATCCATTCCCTTTTGCTGCTCTAACGTGCAAAACTTAAATGGTTGAACCGATATGTCTCTGGTTGCTGTTGTTTAGGCTAACTATGTGTAATATCTCCTATATTCACGACAGATTCTACGTGAATCTGTGGACTGTTTTAAGCGGCTCCGTTTCCTCATCTGTCATCTCTCTTTTAATGTATCCTTTCCGTCTTGTTTTATCTTCCATACATTTGTATTTATATGCTCACTATGTATGTATAAAGCTTTACTTACTTACTGACTTACATAAATTAGTGACTTGGAAGTCAGGATCATTTGCATGGCTGCAGGGAGGAAAACAGGCGATATGCTGATATAAGGGGAAACTACTGAGTTACTCATTTTTGTGTATGGAGTAATTAATTTGATAATCAAAGCTAATTTTTTCTCATCTGAATTATTCTGGTGCCAGCAGGTACAACTGAAAGAGTGTATTATGTTATAGAGAAGTTCCGACCTAGTTATGTTATCAATTATTCATGAAAGTTTGGCAGAGCTGAACTAAAACACAATACTGCGTTTTCCAATATTTGTGGGTCAACAAGTCCAGTCTCCTCAGCTTTTTCCCATCAAGTCTCAAGTAAGTCCTTTGAGTGTCTACAGTTCTGACAGAGGGTAATGATTTTGTTATTAATTTTGTTTCAACAAGTGGACAATATATTCCTTCTTTGTTCAAATGTATTATTTACTAAAGCAAATTATGTTCCAAGGCACATACAACAACTTATCGACATGTTTTTTTTTAATTTAGACACAAAAAAATACGTATCAAAGATTTTCACTGACAGATTTTAGCTTATTAATGTTTTACTAAAAATGCTTGTTGTTGTTACTTTTTGGCCTGAACTAACTAGCATTATCCCCAGCAGTGTCTAAGCTTTGACTGTCACTTTCACCATCGTGTCGGCTGAGAGTTTAACAGAAACGAAAGTTATCTCAGATTCCTACATATTAAAACTCTCTACTCATGTCTAAAGTAGTCACAGTAACTTTAGTTACTAATTATTACTCTAAATTCCTACCAACAAACAGCAGTATGAGCTGTGTGGCTTTAATATTAACACACTAGCTGTCTAAGCTAATGGGAAGTTCAAACAGGATGTGACTCGTGTGACTGTAGTTAGCCTTTGTATCAGTGTCATTATATGTTTTTGATAAAATCATGAAGTTACAAAACTACACTGAGCAACATTTCATGATCTTTTCAGCATAAAAGCATAAAAGTACAAAAAATACCCACACAAAATGCTAATAATTTGTCAAAGAAAATCTGGAGTTAACTTAACCTTTAGAAAAGTGTTTGAAATTACAACCAGAGGAGAAATTAAACATACTTTTCTGGCTGCCTCTGGGTCGTTTTTAGGTGATACTTTGAAGTGATGCACGCTGTCATCGAAGCACTTGAGGGTAAAAAAGCAGCTATCTTTGGCTCGAATCTGGAAATGAAAACATCAAAAACATTCCCTTGTGCAAAAGTTACACTCACACAAATTCAACACAGTAGTCAAAAGATGGAGTTTAAGTCTTAAATGCTGGCTTACCAAACACTGAGCATGTGTAAGGGACTTACAGCCTTGCCTTCTGACATTGGCAGCTGCATCTGACCTTCATGTGAGAAAGAGGTTATATTTTCCTGAGATCATTCTTCTGCAGGCTGGAATTTTTTTCCCCAACATATTACACATTTTCAATGGAGGTATAGGAGACACCATCTCTCAATTGGTATCAAATTGAGTGTGAAAGAGTCACTTACAGCATCTTTATAATCAAAAGCCTGCAGTATTTTTATTTTTATTATTATCTGTTGCAGACATCTTTACAAATGTCTGATTCAAGGAGGACAAAGATAGCACATACTGTTTAGGGTACCAGGCTAAAACCCCATCTTGAAGGATGACCCAGCAGGAGCGCCAGCCAAAAAATCTGGAGCTCTGTGGGATGACACATAGAGAAGAATCAGCGGTCTTATTTTCGGTGATTTCTATTATTGTTCAGTCTTTTCTGATTTTAGAAGCAGCTGACGAAGAAGCACAGCACCTTGAGAAAATACAGCAAATTGGAAATACATTCCTGAATTTGACTGCACTCACACTGCATTTAGAAACATATTTCAAATTCTTGAGACACACAAGCACTTATAGAAAAGCTAAAATACACACACAAGCGAGCTATGTCTGGGTTTGTTGTCTAACCGATTAACTCAGCAGGTAGTGCAAATACGTTAAGTCAATTTTTAGGGTTTCCCAATTTGTGGCCACGTAATTTGGAAGCTGCCATAATTGCCAGATTCTGATATTTAAATAGCGCTCATGTCAACATCCAAGCAGTTTTATAACTGGGACTATATTCAGCTGTGGATTAATAAACATTCGGTGTGCTGGTGCGCATTTCCAGCGTCAGAACGTTGTATGTGAGAATGACTCGTTCATTGTAATAGCAGTTAAATTGTGAGGCTCAGTGATGCATTTTTAATAATAATATTCAGTTACTGGAGGTTTAACTTTCCTTTGATGCTCTGTCACTGCTAGCTTGTTAACTTGCAGCAGACATTTTGAGACGTCACAGCAGGAAAAGCACAGGTGTGATTAATAACATTAATTATGGCTGCATTCGTTACATCTTCATTAAGATTATTACCAACACCTGTGCTGTTCCCACTTACTGTCTACTATCACACTACATGCAGAGTGTTTAGTATTACAGGTTTTACCATTTCCAGGTTATTCTTTAGTTTTCATGACTTTTTGCACAACAGCTCAGTACAGCCTGTAATACCTTACACTGCTGATGTGACATCGTCCTTGTGCTGCCTGTGAATCCTGTTGCAGGTCATTGACTAATCAATGCCTAATTCCAATTGACTGTGAAGTGATTCACTTCCTGAACTAACCCAATTTCAGCTAAACACTCTTTGGTTTAAATCAGATTTTACAGCAGTTCTTTTTTAAAAAGCACAGTTTATAGTTTTTAACCTCCATGAAGGATGACGACAACACGCACATGCACATTGTACAATGTGATTACAGTCATATTAATTAAAAACACATTGATGGTCCAGCAACAAATTAGGGTTGATGTCTAACTTGTGAAATTGTATATCTGAAGGAAATTTTTGGCATATAAACTTTCTAGTGCTCATGTGACTGTAGTCCATTCTTTAGTGCAGTATAACAATAACATGCAGCTTCAACAAAATTTTACTTAATTATATCAACTAGCATTTCGCTAACTACAGAAAAAGAAGAAACCTACATTTTTTATTCTTGCTATAACCTGCTGTAATAACTCACACCACTAAATGTATTGCAATGTGTTTCTGTTTGCTTGTTTGCAGCAGGGTCCTTTAAATGTAACATACAAGTTATTTTGCTTCATTTTCTCAGAACAACTCCCTTACTTTACCTTCAAGAGGAGTCCTTCGTACTTTTTGACATGGCGGGTCATCCCCTGCAAGAGGAACAGATGAGAAACAGTAAAAAGTAAGCTAAAAACCAAATTACAAAACAAATCAAAATAACTTTAGCGAGCCGACTATCAGCTGAGCACTCACTCGATGAATGCTGCCCTCAAGGACCTGCTTCATTGCTGTATCACTAGCCAGGTCAAACACTGTCTGGCCTGTGAGTTAAGTACACATACAAGACAAGTGGGGCTTTAGGACAACAGAACACATGTATACAGAGGGAAAAAATACTCCTTGATTGAACGATGTTTAAAGGCTAGCGACAACTGTTATAAATATCAAGGAGTCATTTACATCCGAACCAGCCTCAGATTGTGCCTCTCATGTAATCATAGATTTGACAGTTTTTGCATTAATAATCACGTTTTAGTCACAGAAATAACCGCGGTGTCTGGCAAAACTAATCAGAGATTAAACTTGAACAGAAATTATAGCTGCTTATTCAGTCAGTTGCTATTTTTATTTAAGTGAAGGAATGGAGACAGACCTTGTGAAAGGGTTTTTCACTCAACACCAAAAGGAATATTTTTGGTACAAGCAGCAGTCTTAAATATAGAGATGTATGGTTTGTTAAGGACAAGGCTGGTGTTTTTCTATATTTTACTTTCTTACTTTCAAAAAGGAAGTGAAAAGGAGCCGGTCGTGATTGCCAGCTCTGGTTGATTGGTCTTACCATTCTTGTTCTTGATGTTGGGGCTGGCTCCACTTTTGAGCAGCTTCAGGGCACACTGCTTCTGGCCTCGATACGCTGCAGAGTGCAGCGGAGTGTTACCCAGCAGATCTGTGCAGTTGATGTCTGGAGGCTTTTTCCTGCTGAGCTGCAGCGAACACGCAGGACAAAAACAGATGGGTTGTCTTTCCCCAAACATCTTGCAAATCTTTATTATTCTGCTAAGAACTGTAGCATGATTCTTTGATTTCTCACTTTGTGTCCGAGAGCTAGAATAGTTAAAGTGGAAACAGACAACTTCCCCCCTTACTTACTGTAGTTGTGGAGATATTTCAGTGTGGACCAAGGTCGTGGATTGACAGACATTACTATCACTATAGTCACGCTGCCAGCAGGGCTAATAACTCTGAACTGAACCCCCAAAACAATTTTTTTCCCCCACCACAGTAACTACAGAAAAGTCATTCTGAGGACATTCAACACTATCATCTAAGATTAAAGCACATGTTTCAGATTTTGGCTTCATATCTTTGGAAGTCTTAGAACAGATATCAGCATGTGGTACTAACCAGCTGAGTTAGAGTTGAAAGGTCTCCGTCTCGTGCAGCGTCCAAAAGTTCCTCCTCCAGTTTTCTCTCCTCTGTTCTCTCGGCCGCTGGTATCAGTAAAAGGATGGGATTTACACAAAAAAGCGCAGGATGATTTTAGAATCTATAGATTATGTAAACAACTTGTACAAATGAATATTAAAACATTAAACATGGAGACTGATAAATATGTTTCCATGATATCTCTTAGATGACAACGTGTCCCTCTCACCTTCTAACATGCTTCTGATCTCTGGATTTTGAGTGACATCTTTAGGAATCTGTGCTGTCCCATTGATGACAGTAGCACATGCATCATAGTGCAGCAGCAGCATGACAACCTCCTGATCAATACGTGATTCATTGATTGATTGATTGATTGACTGAATGGATGAATAAATGCATGCACAAAATCATACTATCAACAGAGAGACGAGAAGAGTAGTGAGAAACATAAAATCAGAAAGATTTATGGCGCATTCAGGTACCTTTCTTCCTGTGAAGGCAGCTTTGTGCAGCGGCGTATCTCCGATATTATTGGGCAAATTAACATCTGCCCCTGCCTGTAGGGTCGAACAACTCCGACGTTAGCTATACAGTTATTCATAATCTAAAGTAAAATTCTTTTAAAACTTTAATTGTTTTAAAAAAAGAAAACCTGCCTTCAGTAATTCCTCCACTACATCTCTGTGTCCAAAGTAACAGGCCAAGTGAAGAGGCGTCCATCCCAGGTTAGACTTTTTCTTACCTGAGAAAACAGTACATACTATGTCACACCACACACTATCATTGATATTTCTCCCCTGTGTTCCTCATGTACCTTTGCAGTTTATGTTGATGTGCGTCTCCTCCTTTATCGTGGACATGAGGAGCCTTTGAATCCCCGGCAGATCTCCGTTCCGCGCGTATTGCAGGAACTGCTCTTCTGGCTCCAGTTCCTCCATGGACCCCTGAGGGAAGACACAGCGAGAGCACAAAAGGATGCTTTTTATTTCTGTGACTCAACTGTAATTAAAAAGATGCTTTCAGAAGCACACGTGCACTGAATCTCTGAGAAGAACCCCAGAAGCTACAGTAGGTTTATGCTCATTACTAATCATGAGCCTGTAAGTTTATCAGTGGCAGCTAATTTGTTTTTATCTAGAGGCAACATTCGAGTACTTTCTAAGAAAACTTTAAGAAATGATATTTACACTTAATACTTAATACCAAAGCTTCATTTAGTACAGTCAGATGGCTGAGAGGATCGCTCTATATTTTGAATGGTCTTTCATGCTTTTATAAAGTCCTCCTTACAAATACTGTAGATGTTATTTTGTGTGAAGAGTTTGTTTAAACAACCAGACGGACAAGGGCAGAAAGAGGCAGCAATCCATTTGAGCAACAGTTAAATAAGAATATAGGAATTAATTAAAATACCTCCTATGACAAACTGGAATGTCTGATTATACTGTTTTTATCTATGTTATAACAGCCATAAACGAAAAGAGTCTACAGCTAAGCTATACTGAGTGAAACACAGACATCAACATGCTAACATGCTTATGTTGAAGGGCCAGCATGTAGGATTCAGTGGCATTTAGCAGTGAAGGTGCAGATTGCAACCAACTCCCCTTCCAAGGGTGTAGGAGAAAAAAAGGATGGGCGTGGAACTCTTAAAAATGCAAAAGGCTCTGTCTAGAGCCAGTGTTTGGTTTGTTCACTCTGGGCTACTGTAGAGACATGGTGGCTCAACATGCTGGCCTCAGAGGATCCGCTGTAGATAAAACCGGCTCAATTAATATTATTATTGTTACTTTTAGGGGATTGTACACTAATGGAAACATATATGAGAATATTATATTCCATTTCTGCTAAAAGAGCCTCCTAATACACTGGATCTTTAAGTATCAGATTTTAGTTTTTATTTTAAGTTAGAGGAAAACTTAAGATATCACTAAAGTTATTACAATTCACCATGAATCATAAATGTATGCACCAAATTTTATGGCAATTTATTATTTATTTAACAATAGCAGAACCTTTAAAATTACTGTTCAAAACTCCAGTGTTCAAATTGGGGAAGTTGTTGCTTTATATTGCTTAAGTCATCATCTGTCATTGTTCAGGACACTTAAACGGAAAACATCACAAGAGTCTGTTTTGTGTGACACGGAGGAAAAAGCAACTTTCAAATGTAAAGAAAAGGAAATCTGAAGTATTACAAAAGGTTGCAGCTCACCAGACCAGCCTTACTTGGAAGGAAACACGTCCTCCTTTTCCCCTTTAGACAGCCTCCTGTCCACATGACGCTCTAATCACAACCCTAGTATGCACGACGACAATGGGAAAGCTTTAAGCAACGTTGTGGCATGTCACATGGCTAATGAACATCAACAAGCAGAGATGAATCAGATGTCTGCGCTGAAACAGGTTTACCTGGGACTGAAAAGCATGTGACACTAACGTTTACCCAGCCGGTCTTTCTACTGTACGCCTTACTCTCTGGGAAACACCTTAAAACTCTCCCTATAAACAGTAGTGTAACAGTATAATCAGGATACAGGCAGAGCTTTCTTTGGTGTCTCTATTATCAATAATTAAAATGCTGCTTTCATTTGTATTTCTATTCATTTATTATAATGTTTAATTTGCTCTCTCATTTGACTCCCATTTGTGCTCTGACAGGTTTATTGTTCAGCTGCACAGTGTCACACCTCACACATATCTTGGACACAAGTCTTTAAAAAGGAACTATAAGGGATTGTTACAACTTTTTCATTTAACTGAGTAATGAATATTCCTTTTACGCCTGAAAGTTGAACAATTACTTATTCTATGGTCAAATGATCAATAGATTAGATTTTTCGATTTGTAAACTGATGAAAAGTAGACGCTATCATTAATATTATTATAATTATTTTATTGCCATATGTGTTTAACTCTCTTTAAATACCCCAAAGTAGTACATTTACTCAAGTATTGTATTTAAACACTTATATTTATTTATATTAAATTAATTTATTTAACTTTATTTAAGTATTTCCATTTCATGCTACTGTACTTTATACTGGAATATTCTGCTTTTCCCATTACATTTATTTTACAGCTAATACAAACAATTAATGTCATGTATAATAATTTCTCAGTAACAGAGGTCATTTTCAGTAGTATTTTTATTTTAAGTACATTTAGCTGATAATACTTCTGTACTTTCACTTAAGTATGATTTTGAATGCAGTACTTTCACTTGTAATAGAGTACTTTTGCATTAATGCACTGGCACTTTTACTAGTAAGTAAAGGGTCTGACTATTTCTTCCACCAGAGCTCTTATGTGACTTTTGCATTCCCAGAATCAGTCTGGGATCCTGACATACAACTAACATCATATCTAGCTCAAATCTTCCCAGTGGAAGGCTGCATTTGTTATGTAAAGTGAATCACAGTGAAGTGATGCCAGGTGCCTGCCTGGAGCAGCTGTTCGCAGCAGGTGACATGAATAACACATCAGCAGATGCCGGACACTTACTTCTTCAACTAGTCCAGTCCTGTGAAGTCCAATCCAGTGTGTTCAGCTCTCACTCGGGCCCTCTGTGAGGCTGCATGTGATGTTTAAAGCCCCTGTGAGCCGTTACCTACGGCTCTACTGCGCACACTTCATACTGTCACTCACACACTGCACATTTATCGTCTTATACTGACTCCTACCAATGGCGGAAATACAGCTGGTCTCTCTCTCTCTCTCTCTCTCTCTCTCTCTCCTCTATCTCACACACCAACACACACACACACACACGCCTCTGTTTTCTGTTTACACTGACATCAGCTGATCTCCGCAGACCGGAACTCCACCGGGAAAAACGTCTAAGCCTTTCAAAATAAAAGCCGCGGCACTTTTTTCAGACGCAGTGCAAAACGTACAGTGACGTGTACGCGGCCCTTACACGTTGAGCAGAAATTAAAAAGTATAAATTACGATTGATTTATTCGTCTTTTGCATCGTATTTGTCGAAAATGTTGTCCGCGACCAGAACCCGGAAGCCAAAACGCCTCGCACCCAATCAGCTTTGCCCTGGAAGCAGTTAACACGTCCACAAACACAGGCTGTGTCTCAACATGTAGTTCATGTGCTTTAACTTTCATGTAATCTGTTTTTTGACTCACTTAGATTCATATTTTTAATAGCTGACTCTCGATGATGAAATGCACAAATGGCCGACATCATAAATCCGGACAATGAAGGAGATCTTCAGGCTCAAGTAAGCTTCCCCCATGCTTTCACATAAAGTTAGGACAGCAAGTTGTGTTCAGTTTTTTTTCTTTTGTTGTAGTATTTGGATGTGGCCTGCAGAGAGCGTATAAGCCAAATAGGACAGTTTACAATGTTTTAATATTGAGCTCAAATAGCACTGAGAGCGAATCCAGGCAGGCTGACAAATCTGGCACAAACAGACCCGGGGCGCTAGCGGGCGGAGACACAAGGGAGGGAGAAGGAAAAAGGCGGGGGGACGGTGCAGAAACCAGGAAAACACACACACACACAAAACACACACACACACACACACACACACACACACAGTGGAGGTTCCCAAGGTGTCTGGATTCATTAACACATATCCATTTGATGTTTGAAGCTCAGCAGGTGCTGCATGGTGCACACAGAGGCCACACATTAACACAATGCAGCCAAAACAGCATGAAAAAAGACAAAATGTGAACACAAATTAACACTATCACAAGCACTCATTATTCAACTGCTAAAACAGCTTGTTTTTACCCAGTGTCTTTGCTGGAGCCCCAGTTAGGGTCTCCCATGTATTGCCATTACATTTGGTTACATTAGGTCCAGTGTGTAACATCTGGGAGGATCTGTTGGCAGAAATGAATATTATATTCATAGTTATGTTTTCATTATAATCACCTGAATGTAAGAATTCAGTGTTTTTTCGTTATTTTAGAATGAGTCGTTTTTATCCACAGAGGGTCCTCTTCCACGGCGTCCACCATGTTTAACCGCTGTGTTTCTACAGTAGCCCTGTCAGCGCTAGATGTCCCTAAATCCTACATACTGGTCCTTTAAACACGTGTTTTTTTTTTTGGAGAAATGAATACCTGGCTGGTGACCTTTAAAAAAAACCCAGAAGGCTTTTACAATAACATTGTTCTGAAGGTATTTGCACAATCCTCCAAGACACACAAAAGCACCATATTGTGTGTGTTGAACAATAGAAAAAGGTTTTAAACTGTATCGCAAGTTTCAACTACATTTCTCCTATCCAGATTGCCTGAAAAGTCAAATCCCCTTGTTGGTTTTGTTTTATCATGCTATTATGTAGAAAAATATAAAATGACACAATGTAACATCAATATAGAAACATATAAGTGAAAATGTTAAGTTTAAGTACCATGTCATATAAACTGAGCTACCATCATTGTTTGGATTTGGAAACTATGGCACCACGTCGGTCGTCAAGTCAGTTTTTTGATTATATATTTTAGAGTTTAAAGCCTTCAGTATATCCCTGGTCCAAATGCTGAAACGACTTTACAGATTCATTCATAATTAATGATTGTGTTATTGTTTCCTCTCAATCAGATTGAAGAGGTAGAGGCTCTGTCTTCCATCTATGGGGATGAGTGGTGTGTTATAGATGAAGCATCCAGAATATTTTGCATCAAAGTATCCGATGACTTGGACGAGCCAAAACTAACAGCATGTTTGCAGGTAGACAAAAAGAAAATCTTGCATATTAGTCACACGTCTCTGGCATTGAAGTTTGCCTGTAATCCAGTTTTTTTATTTGTTCCTTATTGATCAGATAATTCTCCCACCTGATTATCCAAGCGTATCTCCCCCCATCTACCAGATCAAGTAAGTCTATTTGCCTTTCAAATTTAATCTTGCGATGATGTGCTGAACTGATAGAACAACATCCCACTCAAAAATCCACTCTTCATCCTAGTCAATAACCCTCTATTTGTTCTCGGCTTTTGTAGTGCAGCGTGGTTGCGAGGCCCTGAGAGGGCCAAATTGGCAAACAGCCTGGAGGACCTCTATGTGTGAGTGCTTCTCGTAATTTCTGACTTCACAAAGAGGTACTGTAGAGTGATATTAGCTGCAACAAAAGCTTTTCATGGTTCCACAGGGCGATTTCTTTGTGGTCTGTGTCCCTTAAACAATTCATATGGAAATATTTAAATTTTAACAGGGAGCACATGGGGGAGAGCATCCTTTATCTGTGGGTGGAAAAAATTCGAGAATTCCTTGTGGAGAAGTCCCAGAGCTCAGGAACAGGTGAGGTGTGAAAAATGAAATTCATGCATGAGGGTCACACTTACTCAGGCACTTCATAGTGGCTTTAAATTACAGTTGATAGATTTATCAGTCCAGAAAAGCTTACTTTAACACAGCGAGAGCAGGTTTTATAGCACTCATTCATTCACAAAGGCCCAGTCCCCTTTTGTTACTGTTGCTACATCTGTCAAACTTTTAGTTCTTGTACGGCACATAGTCTACAGTGATAACAGCGACAGGTTCGATCATTTGAAATTTGCAGTAGTTTTTTGAGCAAATGGTTGTTTTTAAATTTTACACCAGAGTGAACAAAACCAACTTTCTAATTTCCAGCCAATGCCCATGAATTCTGTCAGGTGAAACGACGATTCTAATTAAGTTATAGTAATTCAAATATAATTAAAATGTCATTCTAAAATAACCCTTGGATGGTATTTCTATAGAAAGAAGATACTAGGATAAGTAAAACAAGTGGTTCTAATCTTTATAAACCGTGTGCTTCACTTTTAAAAGAGGAATGAGTTTTAGGTTGTGGAATAACTTACCAGTTCAGCAAACATAGCTCTATCTAATGCATTTAGCTCATGACATGTCTTTGGAAATAATGCTGGGTTACTATTACTACTAGCATGCTAACATTTGCAGCTCACACTAGAGCAGAAAAACATACTCTTTAACCCATTCCATACACTTTTGCTCCTGTTTATTTATTTTTGTTTATTCATTGTAAAAAAAATAAAACATAGACCGAATATGTATCACTCTTAATACAGCACCATGTACATTGCTTCAACAAGCTTGACTGACATCCCATGCTTAGTTACGGTTGCTAAGCTCTGACTCGACAATCTCTTTTTGGAGGCCGGTTTAGCAAACAGTCAATTACATGCTTATTCAGCAAGATAAAGTCAGCTGTTCATCAGAAGGTCAATTATTAGATCATTTGTTATAAACAAATAGTCGTATCAAAGGGCCAGATGAATCTGCTTCCCTACCTGAAGCGTGTAAATGGGTCTTCTGCTAAGATGCTCCTCCATGAGTAATACAACAATCCGCTGTGGTCTAAAGTTGTGATAAGATGAGCACAAAGGCCCTGTAAGGGCATTAAAAACCCATCTGTCTGACTTTGAGTGACTGCATTGAATTAAGATCAATATCTGTGTAATGCCTTCTGTTACCTTGGCAGAAGCTTTTGAAGTGTAAAAGATACCCAAATTAAAGATTTTCTACAAGTGTCACCGTGCACCAGGTTTTCTTGGGGAGTCTGGCCTGTCTTGGATATATAGCCGGGCCCAGCAGTATCTATTATCGAGGCAGATGGTCTCTTTTGAGCCACAAGGCTGAAAAATATTAACTGCCCTCCCCATTGTTGTGTGGCATAAATTGTCCTCTCTGCGATTCATGTGGTAATAAGTATAACTGGTCACAGCACTTAAGCTCAGAGGAGCCGGATTGACGGTTTATTCCCATTCAAATGATGGGGACATGGCAGAGAGAGGGAGAAGTGATAAGGCTGAAGATGCACATTTCACAAAAAAGGAAATGAAAAGGGAGTAAACATCACAGAGCGGACACGAAAAGTAAAGAGAAATAATGGGTCTGATTGATTCATTCTGAGTTGAATGAGACCAGCCGGAAAGCAACGGATAGAAAAACATCCAAATGTTTGTTCACCTAAACATGAAGTCCCATTTACTTTTAATTTACTTTGGCTGTGTGTGTGTGCTCTGTGTGCGTGCTTTTGTTCTTCTGTGTGTGTGAGTGGTGTGTGTGTATGTGTGTATATATAATTATTTATATATATATATATAGTATAGAATTAGTATATTAATATATATTATATTATATATTATATTAAATATATAGTTAAGCATAGAATAAAACATTATAGGGCATTACTCACTTTATTCCAAAGCAACTTGTTAGATTTGTAACCAGGTCAACCACACACTTGAACCACTGCCGCGCCTCCTCTCTTTTGCTCGCTCTCCCCTGTCGCGGGGGCCTTCCCGCCGTCCTCTGCCTTGCGCCCCCTTCGGCTCTCCCGGCGCTCTCCCTTGTGTCCCTCTCGCCCTTTTTCCCCCCGCTTCCGTCCCCGCCCCTTTGCCAGACTCCTGCTCTCCCTGCCGCCTCTCTCGTCCCTTGCTCGCCCTTTTGAAAATGACAGTTGAGATTGTCTGCCCAGGGCTACCAATTGATAGATTTTAGTGGATCTAGTCTGGCACTTTGGTTCTTTCTCGTTGCAGCCGCCCGGGCCACCACGCCCTGTTGTGCATTGCTCACTGCTCCGTGTTCTGGCCACCTCTCCGTGCTTGCACTCTGTCTGCCTCCTGTTCTTCTTTCCCATAGGGGTTTGTTTTTCTTCTTTGTCAGTATGTAACTGACATGAGTGGTATATAAATTATATACACACACATACACACACCACTCACACACACAGAAGAACAAAAAGCACGCACACAAGAGCACACACACACAGCCAAAGTAAATATAAAAGTAAATGGACTTTCATGGTAGGTGAACAAACATTTGGATGTTTTTCTATCCGTTGGCTTCTCCGCTGGGTCTCATTCAAACTCAGATAATGTAATGCAATCAGACCAATTATTTCTCCTTATTAACTTATCTGTCCGCTCTGGTGATGTTTTACTCCTCTTTTCATTTTCTTTTTTTGTGAATTGTGCATCTTCAGCCTTCTTACTTCTCCCTCCTCTGCCATGTCCCCATCATTATTGAATGGAATAAACCGTCAAATCCGGCTCCTCTGAGCTTTAAGTGCGTGACCAGTTTACTTATTATCCACATGAATCGCAGAAGGTACAATTTATGCACACAACAATGGGGAGGCAAGTTAAGATGTTTTCAAGCCTTGTGGGCTCAAAAAAAGAGAACCCATCGGCCTCGATAAGAGATACTGCCCGTGGGGCCCGCTAATAAATCAAGAACAGGCAACCCCAAAAAAGAAAACATGGTGCACGGGACACTGTGAGAAAATCTTAATTTGTACTTTTACACTTCAAAAACTTCTCCAGGTAACCAGCGCATTACACAGATATTGATCTTAATCATGCAGTCACCAAAGCAGACAGAGGGTTTTAATGCCTTTACAGGGCTTTGTCCTTCATCCTTATACAAACTTAGACCACAGCGGATTGTTGGTTACTCATGGAGGAGCAACTTACAGAAGCCCATTACACGCTCAGGTAGGAAGCCAGATCATCTGCTTCTGATAACTATTTGTTATAACAAAATGATCTTATAAGACCTCGATGAACAGCTGACTTTATCTGCTGAATAAGCATGGAATTGACGTTTGCTAACCGCACTCAAAAGAATTGCGAGTCAGAATTAGCAACCGTGAACTGAAGCATGATGTCAGCAAGCTT